AACCAATTTGATTTCCTGCTTTACGTTGGTTGGTTTTTTCTTGTTTCCTTCTTTTTCAATTTTAATTTCTTGATTTATGTTAAATATATTCTGGAAAGGCTCGGTTCTGTTAACTTTTTCTTCTCTTCCTTCGATTCTGATGTCGCTGTCTCTATGAGTGACGGTTCCTCGAATGTTCACAATAACTGTTGGTTTCAGTACTGTTTGTGTTTCCCTATTACCAATTTGGCTTTGTCCTGCCATTGTATTAGTTAATGGTGTATAATCATCAGTATCGGTATCCGCCTCAGATTCTTCATTAACGTTGTCCTCATTTTCTTTGTTCTTATTTGGATTTTTATTTCTATTGATGTGTGGGCGTGGACGTTTATCCTTTTTTGGTTTTGATGTTGTTGTTTTATGTCTGTTAGTATCTATGAATACTACGACTTCTTCTCGAGACTTTACCTCACTGGTGTTGGTATCAATACTTTTTGGGAAACGGTATTTCATCGATGGCATTTCAATCCTATCATTCCGTCTCGGAATATATTCAGCATCACTTGGTAAGTGTGCTGGTTCATTTTCATATCCATATCGTATATAATTTTGCGACAAATTATTTTCATCGTTTTGGTTTATCTCTTCAGGAAGCTGAGAATGTATTCTAAGTGATTCTATGACATCATGGAACAAGGAACGTTTCTCGTGGGTCGTTGCTATTTCTCGAGTCTTTGTTGGATTTGCAGTGCATAAAATTATCATATACGTGACACAGATGAAGCACTGCATCTGTAAATAGAAAAAATATATTTTAAGAATAAGAACTTTTTTTGTTTTGTTTCCAAGGCTGAAATTTTGTTCTGTTAGTAAATGTTTGAGAATGCGCGTATCTTTTAATTTATTTTGAAGAAGGATGTCAGAGTATACATTTATTAATGTTCGTTTCTAGTTACGCTAGAAAATAAAATAATATTGAAACGTAAATCTAACAACATGGTAAGATTTTAATCAAATAATGATGGCCTAAGTAAGGTAAAGTTATATTTCCATTTTATCGTAGACAACAATGGTGTTGCTGTAAAAGTATCTGTCCTACTGGCCTACAAGTCGGATTGTGGTTAGCAGAAATGATGGATTGGCAATACTTAATCGTACATTTCATTTGAATAGAGCTGTTTTACGCTGACGATGATAGGTTCCACTTATTTTGTGATTAAGGTTTCCCCACTTATGTATACATGTATGAGTGGTATATTATTATCTATTATTTTACTTTCTTTGTATTTAAGTTTGCATATACGGTAAAACCGATGTTGATGTTATGGTACGGTTCGAAATTAAGTGATGAATCGAAAACCAGATGAGTGGGGGTGGTGAATTGACAAGAACTTAATATAATGTTGTATTATGGTTGTTTGCAGTGGGTACAGATTTTCCCAATGTTAAGATAGACATAATTTTGTAATAAATAAATAATTGGAGATTGAATATGAATCACTATACAACTATGTACGGAGTGCTTGCAAACATTATCACTTTTATTTTTAATATTAATTTTCATTATATTATGTTGTCATAAAAAAACTGAATGGAAGGATTATATTGATTTAAAAGGCTATTATAAAGAAAAAGTGTTTCTAACACACTAAAATGTTTATGTAATGTATGGTTATAAAATTACTCACCTTGATAGTGTACCGTGGATCGCGTTCACGGTGCGACTAGTTGCGCAGGAGTGGCGAGATGCAACCGGGAAGCGGTCGGAAGGTTGACTGAACTCCACTGAACTGAAGACAGGGGTGGTCAAGCGCGATAGGGTTTGCGTTTTGCAACTTTGCAACGACTTTGTTTTTTTAGACTAACCTATGCTAAAATTATTTCTTTTACGGAAATTAGGACTCGGGTTTTAAAATGCGTAATCAAGTAAGTATATTAATTGGTTTTTTTGAGGGGTGAAAATCTTCAAATTCTTTTCCCCCCCTGGATGGGGTGAGAGGAAGTTTCAGACTCTTTCTGATTTTAAACCACCCTGTTCCATCTTTTGCCCCAGCCCAGGGCTTCGGTACATTATTTACTATCATTATTAAATTATTTTACATTTGCATCCGCTTCAAAATATTTTCAAAGACAATTAGAAATAAAAAATGTTCTGTGTACTTATTTCTGTATTTTTTCACAATGTAAAACTCTTGGTTGTCTTGTTCTTTAACTGTCTTCCAAACGATATACTTGTTTGTAACCGTTTCCTTTTTAGGGCTATTCTCCTTACTTAATATATTTTTTGAACAAATAGAATGTATAAAGCTACTTGTCGATAGCTTGCGTCATAAATAATACTATAATTGTACGGTTAAATAAAAAATATTGTCTCAAACGCATATGTAATAGTTAAGACCACGGTTAAGACGATACTTTTTATTTTTCACCATGAATTTAGCACCCCTGTTCAGAAATAAATAGCAACTTGTCTTGTCGGGAACTACTAGACTTGTGATGTCCGGAACTTGTGGCTATTGTGCCATTATAGTGCAACAATAAATAATGTGGTCAGCGACCTTATAATCAAAGGCATACGGGATATAACCTACGAATTTATTAAGTTGGTAGTTTTTTTGCTGGATATTTGCCGTCGCGTTAGTTCAAGAAGTGTTGAATTAATTTTTATTTTACGACCTTTTTTGCTAGTCATGGCTACCATGAAGTATTTTACGTTCATATTGGTGGCTAATAAAACTGGATACCCAGGCTTTTCAAAGCGACATATCTCATTTTATAATTGTGTATTCAAATCGTATAAAATATTATTAATGTCTTGTTTTTTATTTTGCTTTTATCGCACTCTCATACTCATAATTAGATTGAATGTTTTTTTGACAATTTTGTTCTTTCGCAGCCGAGCGCTCGTCGAGTCAACATCTCCTGAGGATGCCCTGTGGAGGGGCGAAACACGTGTCCAGTATAGGTTTGATTGCGTGGCATGTTTTCCGTTTTGTATATGTGTGCATATGCATGTTTACCCTTGCTGCATGTGCATATGCATGACTGCATAGGTGTGGGATTGCATCCTGCAACAAGCCTGGATTTTTGTCGCGGAATTAAAACTAAATAGTTTCCCTAACATTTAATTTTGTTCTTGCCAACTATGTTATAAAATGAATTTTATGTCATACGTTTCAAATTCATTTATTTCCAAATAACAAATCTACAGGCGCCGAAAGATCATTCCAAAATTTTGGTGTACGAGGTAGGTAATTTCGCATAAATCGCACATTTGGTGACTACTAATCTATACTTATATTATAAAGAGGTAAAATTTGTAAGTTTCTATGTAAGGGGTAAACTTTGGAACCGCTGGACGGATTGCCAAAATTCTTTCACTGATAGATAGCTACAATGTTCCTGAGTGCTATAGGTTATAAAACATTACGCTACGATTAGATGGAGCCGAGCAGCGGGTGTCACCGCGCGAGAGGAGCTAGTCTATGTATATGATGGCGATGAAAAACACGTGGGTTGAAGGTGAAAAGATGCAGCGGTCATCAAACCAAACAATTCCTTTGAGTATTTCCCGAGGTAGGTACGGTCGATAGAGATATACTATACATAGTCAGCAGTGCCAGAGTTCAGCCGGTCTGAGATATCAGGGTAGTCAACGATTCAAATGGCTCGTCGCTTAATGCGGTCCAGAGGGAGAAGCTGGTACTGGAGAGCCCCTGCGCAAAGATGAGTAGAGTAGTCCATATGGGGTTGAACTTGCGTCTCATAAAGTACCATCCGATGTCCCGGACTAAAATGTTGCCTCGATCTTTTGAGTACACCTAGATTCTTTGAAGAGAGTAGCTTATACTTAGCCTCTAGATGACCACGGAACTGGACTTCGCTCGATATATCCGCACCAAGTGCCTATTCCATCACCAGTCGACGACCAATAGCAGTTTTATTTTTCCTTACCGAAAACTGAAATTGAATGATTTGAAAAAGTAACATAATTATTAAGGCAGCCAAATAAAATAAGTAGGTAAACAAAAATTAATATACTACCGTAAAGAGTAGAGCTATTGGTTAAATGTTGGCATGTTGCTTTTAAATTATTGATAGGCGCTTGTAAGTACGTATTACTTTTTCAAATGGAATTTTGGTTTGTTCTCTACAAATATGTATAAGTGTTGACTTTGTTTCGTAAATGGTAATAAAAGTGAATTTCGTAAATTAATAAAGACTGCATCATGAAATGTTACGTTCATAAAATTACAAATGGAAGTGCGAATCGTGGAACGCCTTTTTTTTTGTGAGGGGAAAATCATCAAATGACTTCTCCCGCCCAGGGCCGGGCAGGAGGGAGTGTCAGACTTTTACTGACTAAAAACCCCCCTGTTCCTTCTCCTGCTCTGTGCCGAGGTCGCGGTACCTCATTGCGCTTACCCCGCAACCCCGGCTGAACATCAGCCCTTTAGGGCCCCGTCTGTGGGGAACGCCTTTCGTGCAATTATCTGCAAATGTGCACATGCACTGCACATGTATCAAAGAGAGCGGGAGAGGTTATTTGATGATTTACCACTTCTAAAAAAAGGTAGTTGTCATATCAATAATTTTGTCGGTAACAACTGAAATCTTCCTGACCAGACATTATTTTCACCCTCATTTTCAGAACCATACTTCCCATCGATCTTCAAAGGACTGTCTGGTGCTTTTTTTGAAGACGGATGATATATATGAGTGAGTTACTGGAGGCTTAATTTCTCCCCGATTCCTTAGTCTCCGAACCCTAATCCATCAAGGGCGGCAACGCATTTGCAACTGCGTTGGTGTTGCGGGTGTCCATGGAAGGCGTCCATTGCTTACTATTAGGTAACACGGGAGCCCGTTTGCCGACTTATTACATTAAAAAATATTATTACCGTTTTAATAAAACACACAAAGCTTGTTCAATTTATTTTAAACAGAATAATAAAACAATTTATTTAGTAAAATGTATTTGGACAAAATTTAACAGTAACAAAAAAGAACTTCTGGCATTGTCACATTCTTGATTCTAGGACCACTTTGTAGTCATCAGCAGATCTTAACATGATGTCATAATTTATATCCAGTGGCTTTCCTAACTCCGATTGGGAGACTGGTAGTATCCGGAACCGACGAACAATATTTGATAAAACGGACTTCATTGATAACATTGCATAGCGGTATCCTAAAACGGGAATAAAAAAGTTTAATACACGTAATGCGTTGCCCACGGATATCAGGACGGCAACCAGTCGGCTATCTTTCAAACTTAAAGTTCACAATTATTTGCTAGAGAAACTGACAGATTCCACTAATTAGTGTATTGTTATTTTGTTCTTGTATATACTCGTAATCTATTCTTCCCATATTTAATTATATTATTTATGTATTATTTATATGTTTTATGTGTATTTGTAGGTTATATTTATTGTATTCATATATTATATTTTTGTATTATATGTATATGTCGCCTTATATGTCTATGCTTTTTAATCATTTGTGTGCTTGTTTAGAACCTATTGTTAACACTTCTCTGCATCACCCGTGAGGTTGACTGGTAGAGAATGCCTTCGGGCATTAAGTCCGCCTTTGTATGTATTTTTTTTTATATGTACATAAAGTGTTAAATAAATAAATAAATAATGTTTCAAAAACAGACTTCAACGAGAGTTTTTTAATAGATGGAACTAATATAGCAGGAGGTCATGTTTCCCAATACCATATAAGCTAGTTCCAAAACATTTGACATTCACATGCACAACTTCATTGATACGACGAACAGACTTTGTGCTACATTAACGTCATCTGGTGAATGAAAACGGTTACTCCCATTACATAAATCAATAAAAAATAATGTAATATTTAAGATTATTAAAACGCAACTAAGATTCGGTGAAGGGAAACACGGTAAAGAAAGAAAGAAAGAAGACAAATCACCTATCCGTAAAAAGGGGTGTTTGTGAGAAGAAGCCTTTTCTTAGTAGTGTAATAGCTATTGACCCGTATTGTGTGATTTGAAGTGATATATAAAACAACTAGAAAAAAAGATTAGATTTCTGTCATACCAAGACAATTCCGTGGCCCATAACTGAATGAAAGAAAAGCAGCAGGATGCTTGAGCTGCGTGTCAATGAACCGTTCAGGTCTGAACTGGTCCGCATCGTCTCCCCAGTAGCGAGGGTTGCGGTTAGCAGCGAATATTGACACAAATATGCCTGTGCCTTTTGGTAGGGTGTCCCCTGATGCTGAAATGGAATTAAAATAGTTCAAGATCGTAGAAAGATACGTCATTATTGTGATTTTCAATTAAGTAGCCATAAATTATAGTTCATGAAGTAGCTCTCATTGTCAATGAATATATTTTTTATGAGCTTTGATATAGGTAGATCAGTCTGATAAACTTTGTTCAATCATTTTTTTTATCATTTCGCGAAGGATATTTGCTTATTGGCGCTATTGGCTGCTAGTCATCTAACAGTTATAGAGTCTGTGCTTCAAGAATCAATAATATGGTCAGAATATTTAACTTACGAAGAACAACGTCATTGTCAACTTTTCTGAGCAAGATTGGTCCTGGAGGGTACAAACGCAGTGTTTCCTTGATGACTGCGCCCATGTACTTAAGCCGGCTGAGTTCTTCAGCGGTCACTGGCAGGTTCGAGTCACCAAATACGTCTTTGCACCTGATGGAGATGATTGAGGATAAATATAATAATTCGATAATGAAGCAGTGAATCGCGATTTTATGAAAGATTAAATACCTCTCTAAACTTTTCGAAAATGTAATTAATTATGTGTCTTTTATTTTATTATTTTAAAAGGATTTTGGGTTTTAAAAGTTTGTTACTAGTACATACTCTTGGTAGACTTTTTCTTGGACATCAGGGTGTCTTGCTAGTAGCATGCTGGCGAATGAAGACGCAAGTGTTGAGGTGTCCGTACCCGCTGTGAAGATCACCATTATCTCTTCCAAGAGCTCTTTATCAGTGTACCCCTTGTCTCCTCCTGAAGATTCTATCATGAGTTCCAGGAAGCTTTTGATGCGGTCTTTGTCTGAAAAGAGACGAAGATGTTTGTAAACATTGGAAGCCAGCTTAAGTATTCATATGATTTCATAGCATACCTAGAGGTAAAAAAAAACTTAAATATTATTGACTGAAAAAATATTCCATGTGCGTCGGTTTGATAAAATGCGTATGCATAACAAAATTATTTACCTTCGTCATCTTTCTTATTAAATTTCTTCTCAGCGAGTTCCTTACGCTTAGCTTGTATCATCTGAAAATACAAACTCTTTAAGTTGAATATGTTTTGTTTTTCTGGTTCCGCTATCGCCGTCTGTGGACGGATTTGAGGATTGGAAGTTGATATATTTACATTTCTCAAAATATAGGAAATCGTTAGATAAGTTAAGATCTGTCGTTGTAGACAGAATGTGTAGGTATCTCGTGCAACCGATAGCTCCAGCTTCTCTTTGCAGACTGTGATTGGCAGGGCATTGACCTTCAAATAGTTAATATAGTGTTTACCTCCATTATATACCCAAGAACAGTGTCCACATACTCCATGTATTTAGCATGATGTGCAGTCAGTTTGTATAACGGCTCGAAATGAAGCCACGGCTTCATGATGCGATCTGCTATGAGCGTGCAGCTGCCCGCAAATGCTTTTATCAGATCCTGGTTTGGATTCAGTTGTGAATTAGCATTTAAGCCTAGAGAAGTTTCTGGAAAAAAAATATGGTCGATAATGTAATGTTTTTTTTTGAAGGGGAGACTACTACGCGTTGGACGTACCGTCGCGTGTGCCTTAAACAATCATTAGACCACCACAGATTAGGCTCAACAGGAACTATGTTAAGCCGATGTTGCGGGGCAAATAAGGTATCACAGCCTCAACCTGAAGCCGGAGAAGGAACGCGATGGTTTTTAGTCAGTAGATCATCCCTAATCAAAAGGCTTAAAAAATCCCATTCGACCAATTCTTTAAGAGGTAAACCAAAATCCGTCCAATTATAATTGTAAATAAGGGCTACCCAAATTGGTACTTTACTGCATAGACTTATTTACTCATTAAAACTATTTACCTACCACGAACAGAATCCATGGCATAAGCCATTATGTATTCAGATATTGATATGCTTCCCGTTCCAGCTACTTTTTGGAGTTGTTGCACCATGATCTCACTATTTTTAGCGAATATGTCTGTGAAGGCCAATAGATTCTTCTGACTGAACGTTGATACCAGAATTTTGCGTCGAGGTCGCCATATTGGTACTGTAAATAGAAAAACAGGAAAAAAAAAACGTTTTACAATGCAGTTGATTTTGCGTCATCGAGATTTTTAAGTGAAAAATAAATATAATTGTTTTATTGTTCTTTTTTATATTCAAGTGAATTTATTAGTATATAAGTTTAACCAACTACCACCCTGCTTCTGGAAGTCACATGATTGTGTGATTTTTAAAGTCTAGTTTTTAGGGCGAAGTTCTTGTAAAACATCACAAACCGAATCAATAGTGTTGGAATTTAAAGAAAAAAGAAAAAGACAGATGCATCTTATTTAGGAGTGACATTCTAAATACAATATTGTCACCCGTATTTTTGTCTGCATCACCCATAGATCAGACTGTTAGATAATGCTCAATGCACTAAGGTAGAATTTGTGGATTGAGAGATTGTGTACATTATTTTGTACATGAAGCTATAAATAAATAAATTTGTAATGATTGTTAAATGTTTGTATGCATCTTACCATCAGCAACGCTGCTGCCGTTTCCTATAAGAGCTAATGTTAGTTTCATTGAATCATCTTTGTCTAGGCAATGTTTCATAACGCACTCTGCTACCACTGGATCAGCAACAACTGGAGGGTGTAAAAGCTCTTGTTAGTACTTTTTTTCTCGGTGTACTTGCGTCGCACATCTTGCTGAGTCGCTGCGACATGTGTTCCTCAATGCTGTTCGTAAATATGGGCCCCGTATGGCGCGAAACTTGTCCAACAGTTACGTTAGTAAACCGTTATATGTAATACAAACATCACACTGCTCCTGTATATGTAAACTCGGTAATATTTTTATAGATAAGGAAACCTGATACTCAATTCCGATTCAGTAATATTTTATGGAATGTTTTCTTATGTTTGTCTGTTGCCAATTGTTTCAGTAATCGAATTTAAAGTTTAAATGGGTACAACCAGAATGTACAAAGGGTAAAAATGCTTCGGAAAATACTTACTAAAGTATAATCTGTGTAGATTCCATCCAATTGTCGTACCTCCCTGCTTCACCGCTTCTCGACCAAATTTTTCCAGAACTTTCCATCGATCTACAAAAAGTTTACCAACACATTTTTAAAACAAAATAAATGACAAACAATACATTTAAAGTGTGAAGAATATTAAACTAACCAGTATTATTTTTACATTTGATAAAATGTACTGAATGTCCAAGTATGGGCGCGGCTTTGATGTCGTTTTTATATAACTTAGCGAACTTTATTCTGTGTCTTGCTTGCCATCGGAGCACTAATCCATATAATATCACCACACTAACAAATAATTGCCAAATCATTTCATAAACTGATTAATATCACATACAATATTTACAAATAAATCTGAACTTCGTATAAAAATACAACAACATTCAACACATGTATTGCGCTGCTCACGGTACAAAACACACTACTCTTAAACAATGCTTCATTATTTTGGTTTTTTTTTATAATCTTATTTTTGTTCAGATAATTTATTACCAGTAAATAAAATTTCAAAATTCGTTTATGAGAAGTGCTCACAGACTATTACCTACTATACGCGGTAACTTAAAATTTGTATGCATATATTTATAATTTTAATGTGCACATTTATTTATAAAATTCAATGCCGTAGCTATTAGTAAATTTGCAAAATAAAAACATTAATCAGAATATGAGTTTTTTCAAGAAAGTCTAGGTACTGTTATCTATGATACTTTTACGATGCAATTTTTTTTCAGATCCTGAAAACGGGAAAGACAAAGTGGCCGCAGGGAGCTGCTGGATTAATGTGTACCACGGCAAGGTTTGGAACAGGCAAAGAAAGGAACGGAGTCCGTTTTTAAACAGTAAGAATTTGGCACTCTTTCTCGCCTCATCCAGAAGAAGTCATTTCAGGATTTTCCCTCTTTAACAAAATAGAGCTGCTGGATTACCTAATGTTCCGTTGCCATTGCCACGGCTTGGCATAACATGATAAAGAACAGGGTGGTTTTTATTTAGTTCAGAGTTTGACGCAAGAGGAAAGAAATCAACTGATGATTGATCCCGTACAAAAAAGATGTTGCTGGATGTCGGTTCCCAACTTACTGATTTGGAAGTCTTTGGAAGACCTGTGGTCAATAGGCAACTTAAGGCGGATATGGATGTACACTAATAACTCACTAGACGCCGGCAAAGCATTTGTAGTAACTCCTTTGGTATTATTTATATGCACCCGGGCAGCACCGACTGCTTACCATCATCAGGTAATCCAACTACTGCTTTGCGGACCTACGACATAAAAATTGGTGATGTTCATGCTGAGAAAGATAAAGAAAGAATATTGATTAAAGTGTGGGAGAGCCAAGCTTCAGCACGAATGGGTCGGCTCGAAAGGAGTGATACCACGGCCTCACAGAAAACCGACGTGAAACAACCACAGCGTTGTGTTTCGCCGTGTGAGTGAGGTTACCGGACGCCCAATCCTTCCCCTCCCCCAATCCCACCCCAATCCCTTAATCTCCAAAACCCTAATCCCTAAGAGGTCGGTAACGCACTCGTAACTCCTCTGTTGCGGGTGTCCATGGGCGGCGCTGATTGCTTACCACCAGGTTATCCGTTTGCTCGTTTGCCGATCTATTACATAAAAAAAGAATCTGCGTATTTTGATTCCAATGTTAGATACTTTTGAATTAAGGTAAGCAGATTCATTTGGTTTATAATTTAGTATATCCAAGTGACCTGTTACTTAGACAATCCATTATCTTGATAATGTTTAGTTCTTTTACAACTTGTTTGAAAAAAGAATTCTTAATTTAAAAAAATTAAACGTTAAGTTTGCAGCCACACTAAAACTTATTTATCAATATGCCTCTCGGAGCTCATAGCTCCAAAGGGCTAGGTTGACGTTGTCGAATAAAATGAGACAGGTGCATACTGAAGTAGGCACGCACACATCTACACTTTGCCAGATAAAAAAAGTTGTTATGAATGTACAATATAGTTTTACCTACTTTCAAAACTACTCATTTAGCGTGGCCTTCATTTAAAATGTGATGTATATACGTAAATGTATAATTTATATGTCTTTGTATAGATACTAAAGAAAAAATGTTATTATCATATCTTTTCTATGACCTTCCTGGTCAATGGTGGTACTCAGCTGTCCAGCTGGTACATAGCTGGACCACCTCTAAGGTTTCTTCCTAATCTTCTGTTTTATGTGAAAAGTGAATAGGAATAAATATTTGAGTTGTCAACCAGGTCAACATTAAAAATGTCTTAAGTTATTAAAAGAAACACATCTGTTTTTTAAGATTTAACTTTGTAAAAATAGGTTTTATAGAAAGTTTAGTTCCCAACTGATTTTATAGTACCTAGTTTAGTATAGTGCTCTGGGAACAGTAGTAAGAAATTTTGATCTAATTCGCTGAAATCATGTGCAGAAACTACGCTCTAGAACAATCTGTAACTATCTACTATAGTTATTTAAATTATAAATTCATTATTATTTCATTGTGTAATTAACAATTTATGAATTTTGATTTCTGCAAATTAGCATGTGCAGTTAAATAAAGTCAAGAGACAAAAATAAGCAAAAACATTGATTCCAAATAACACTTTAAAAACGTCTAGAAATAGAATAATAGTCCGTCAGCGAAACTAGATGTTCGTTTCAAAATGTAAGTAGATTCGAACGGGGAAGAGTGAGGACAAAACTCAACATTTTAAAAATATACTTAATGTTGTTGATCATTTTTTTTATCAACTAGATACTTATATGATTTTTTGTTTATATTATGCATTTATTATGTAGGGCTTACATAATTTGCTCCGCGGAATAAGAATAAAGTTGGCTCCATAGCTCTGATGAGGTAAAGCGACATCTACAAAAATACATATAAAATGTCAGTGTCAATGTCTTGTGTAGGTACCTCATGGACGTCATTTGGAGCCAGATAAGCTCAGTACCAGTTGTTCTTAGTTCGCGCACCGCTCAAGAGATGTCAGCTAAAATAACATTTGTATTTACTCATTGTATAAGGTTATACATCTCAATGAAACTATAAAAGTGTACTTAATAGATTTTAATCTAACATTTTTGTTTTTATTTTATGTAATAGTCGGATTACCTGATGGTAAGCAATTAGCGCCGCCCATGGACACCCGCAACGGAGGAGTTACGAGTGCGTTGCCGACTTTTTAGGGATTAGGGTGTTGGAGATTTAGGGATTGGGAGGGATCGGGGGAGGGAAAGGATTGGGTTATTTATTTTTCTGTAATACGACGGCAAACGAGCCGACGGATTACCTGATGGAACAAGGGATGAGTTACGAGTGCGTTGCTAACCTTTTGGGGATTAGAAATTGGGGGAGGGGAAGAATTGAGCCACCAGTAACCATACATGCCGAAGCATGGCTCTCCTTCACTTAGTATTAGGATCTAAGTGAGCCATGCTTAAATAGGTAAGACATCGTAACATGGCGTATTCTCTTCTATCTTTAGGTTCAAGACAATATCAGTACAGATACGCCCCACTTTTAATAGGAGCCATATTTCTTTTTAATGCCGACTCAGGCTAACCCCGTAAGAAAATTTGAGGTAGTTTTATCAAAGTGCCCTTATCGGCCATAGCAGGGCTAAGGTTGAAAAACGGGGAGGATGGGAACAAAGGATAATGAATTCTCTATTAGTCCCACGAGAGAAATTGCAGGTAACGTTAGCCCTTTACTTTCTTCTGGAATGGAATTTATTAGCTTTTCGTGTGGTCGGTGGATGATCAGGAATTCTGGTTAGCTAGGTTGTTGTATTTGTTTTTTTGAACTTCACCAGTGTACCTACCAAGCATAATGCCTTGAGGTTCAAAGCTAATATAGTTATATAAAAAATAAATCGTTGCTCCTTACCAGGATTTTATCGTGTGTCGTGGGTGCGTCAATATCACATACACATCACGACCAGACCCGGAACAACAATTTGTAAATCACACAAAGAGCTGTTCCGTTCTGGAAACGAACCCGCGACACGTTGCGCGGCAGCCAGTTGCCTAGCCATCGTGTCAACTGTCCAGTGAAATGTCAAAGATTTTGCAACCTTTACAAATAAATAAAATAATTCATGACAAGAAATTTTAGAAAGTGAAAAGTTTATTAAACCGCACAATGCACACAGAATTCCAATTCGTACATTGACAGCAACGCAGGGATGATAGATTTTAAAAGAAAAATATTTAAAAAGTTAGACCGACCATTCCGTAGGTACTACCGTCACGTAACAAATATTTTTAAAACACTTTTCACACAATCCTTAACGAGATCTCACCTTTACATAGTACGAGGTGATTCGGGCCTTCCTGACCGCCGTCACTTAGACCTGTATCCTAAATAACTACGCATTTCCCTTGGGAATTTACACCGGCTCTTAAAGACCGATGGTCATTACCACCCCACCACCTCCCCCATTATTTCCCGTGTCGCGAGAGGACGCGTGCCTGGAATAGTGAACTGATGCTTATTGAAACACACCTTTACATTTGCATACCGAGTACCTCTGTTACAATGGTATAAAGTTGAGAGTTGTATGTTTGAAGTGCATGCAGAAGTTGGTGATCACAGCGCAGCAATCACGAATCTTCTGGGACCGTTACAAACAAGTGTCTTTGTGTATGTGTTCTGTTGGACGATGGATTTTACTCTGTACTCTGTACTTCCTTTGTTAGTTATCTTATTAAGTTTACATTCGGTACAGACGGTCTCGGTGGAGAAGAAAATCGAGGTGTTGCGGACTTATGTAGCTCCTAGTGGACTAAACACGGTACAGTAAGTAATAATTTTGGGAGAATCATATTGACCAACTCAAATGGGCCAGCTCAATCTCTGTGATAGCCTTACGAAGAACAGACGTATAACGTCGTGTCTGTTAGGTAACTGAAGTCCAAGCCTTAACTCCGCTTCCACCCTTAATAAGTTAGGTACTCCTAACCGGTGTAATGGGTGACGCTGATTGCTTACCATCAGGTGGCTCATGAAAGTAGTAGCAGTAAGTGCTCAAAGCTGAGCAAAGGTCTCTTCTAAGACGGAAAAAGTGAGCATTAATCACCATGCCTGCTCAAGGCGGATTGACGATTTCAAATTTATAAATCTAGGATTCGATGTCTCCCTTTACCGTTTGTCAATAGTGACTAAAAACTAAGACAATAGATACGTAATTATAATTCAAAAAAGTCACTTGCTAGGTTTCGACTTTTGAGCCCACATACAAGAGAAGCGGGTACCTTTACCAGTTATAGATCGCCATGACATTAAAACATGAACAAATAATTCAAGCTAATAAAAGCAAGAACTACGTAATAGCCATGTAACTGTGGGAGAGCCATGCTTCGGCACGAATGGGTCGGCTCGACCGGAGTGACCGGAGTGAAAACCGGCGTGAAA